ACACCTCAAAAAATTTGATTCTCCCTTGATATAAAAACAAATTTGGTGTTGAAAAGATATAATAATATAATGTAAAATTTAGAAATTTACCACACCTAAACAAAATAGTTTTATTATTGTAGCATTTTCAAATTGCCTCACGTTCAGAATCACTGCTGTACACGATTTCAGACCACAGAAACTACTTATCCTTTTATAATATATACATACATACATAGACAAAATGAAATATTTGTTTGGATACCAATGATGCTCATATTTGAAATTATTTTTTTCTCTAAATTTACGTAAAAACAAAAAGCACGAGGTCTATCTAGAGGTACCCTAGTACATTTTAAAACAAGCAACCCAGTCTTAGTTTTCTATTGATATACGGAACACAAGATTAAACACTGTAGCATATTTACTTATATATGATTAGAGTTATTATATACCTGACTGTATAATTAGATAATGGCGGATATACAGATCTGTTTGTGAGAGAATTAAAAACGTTATCAAATTAAATGCTTATGAATATTATGCCTAAAATTATTTCCCTGACACGAAAAAATAACAGAGAACTGATGACCTACTTGATTTTATCTGAAATAACGTAAATATATATATTCGATGTACACATACACACACACACACAAACTTCAACTACGAACTTCAAGGTAAGACTGCTTAACTTTTAAATAAAAATAACCGATTCTCTCGTAAATAATTATCTCACAATAGCAATGTCATGCAGCTAATTTTTTATGCCCCCCTCAGTGAAACAGCAGTATGCCTGCGGACTTACAGCATTAGAAACCGGGTTTCGATACCCGTGGTTGGCAGAGCACGGATAGCTCCTTGTACAGCTTTGTGCTTAACTACAAACAAAATAATAATTATACAAACAATAATAAGTGGGGGTGCCTTTAACTTTTCATATTATTAAATTTCCATTGTTACTTTGATTAACTTATTGGTTTCCAATACAGAAATATATTTTGAACATAATTAATTAAATGTTTATATATGATTTAGGATTATTAAAAGAGTGTATGGAAAGCATTTTGGGTCCCGTGGCCTATGGACACGACACCACTGTCCCATAAGGTGGGCAACGCCCTTGAAAGACTCGTAAGAAGAACAAATACTTGGACTTAACCTGCTCTTTTCTATTTAACTTTCGGGTATTATTTCTTTTGGCCTTGCATGGCCTGGTGGTTAAGGCGCTCGACTCGCAATCTGACGGTCACGGGTTCGAATCCCCATCACCAAACATGCACCCCCTTTCAGCCGTGGGGGTGTCAAAATGTGATGGTCAATCCCACTATTCATTAGTAAAT